ATTTCAGCAAGTTTTAGGAGGTTAAACCACATTTTTAAGGTAGATACTTTTGTGCTTTGTATGTTTTTTTTGTCATTATTTTATTGCTTTAGATTTGTAAATTCTCTAACGTTTGCATAATTTTTATTTTATTTAAATATAGGGAGCAGTTGGTGCACTTGATGGAACATTAATACCTGCCATTATTCCAATTTCAAAACACACTATGTATAGGGGAGAATGTTATCAAAATATTTAAGGAATATGCAACGTTTGGGCAGGCTGGGAAGGGGCAGGCTGGGAAGGGGTAACACGTGATTCAAGACTCTTAACGGATACAGTTGTTGATCTAAAAAACGAGTTTCCATGGCCTCCACGTGGTATTACTTTTAAATTCAAACTAAATTCTTAGCATTTATACGTTAAATTTGATATTACTTTATATTTATAATGATTACAGATAAATACTATCTTTGTGATGCTGCATATATATATATATATATATATATATATATATATATATATATATATATATATATATATATATATATATATATATATATATATATATATATATATATATACTAGAGGATTTATGGTTCCATATCGTAATGTACAGTATTGGTTAGGAGATTCTTGTCGTATGCGTCATTTAACTAAAGAATAAATATTTAACCATGCTCATGCTCAATTAAGGAATGTCATCGAACGAGCTTATGGAGTTCTGAAGAAAAGATTTCCGATTTAACAAAAAATGACCCATTTTTCGTTTAATATGCAGAGAAATATATTGATTGCTTGCTTTGCGCTGCATAATTTTATAAGGAAATAGCATATAAGTGATACACTTTTTGAGGAGTTTGGTCAACTTAATATGCCATTTAATGGTACGAATGAGGATGAGCTAAATCTTGTGAATGATGGTACAACTACTAGACCATAGTAGGGGACGAAGACATGCAATACATGGCAATTGTGCGCGACGAGATAGCAACCCGGTTGATGCCTGGAGGGACCAGGACCAATTAGAATTTATTTTTTTTACGTTAATTTTAGGGACTTAATATATTGAGCCAATTTTAATGATTTTAATGTATTTTTATATTTTCTCTGCTTTTATTTATGAAGGTTATTTTTATAAGTTGTTTGAGTTTCAAATTTGAAATTTATATTTTGTCTATGTTAGATATTATAAGTTTATATCAAGTTATTTAATGTCTGCCAATTTTTTATATTTTACTAATTAAATTGATCATGCTAAAAAAGCTTGTTTATTCATATATTCTAATCAAATTTAATTAACAATACTGTTTCAGAATCATACAAGGGTATATCAGGGAAATTACAATATTCAGACATTACTGATATTCAGTTATCAAATGAACTTAATTATATTTAATGTCCGCCAAATTTGATATTCAGTTATCAAATTACTATATTTTACCGATTAAATATGATATAAACCTCGTTGAACTCGTTACGGGACCCAATACTTTACGCGCAAGCAAGATCGAAGACATCCAAAAACAAAGGATTCAAGTTGGCGGATGCAAGGAATAAAGACTTCTTAGCTATAAAGAGCTAGAAACCATTATTATCAAGGTGGAATATTGACCTCGTGGTTATAAAGAACCAGAAACCAATATAATGTCCCTAAGAAAATTACAAGAATCCACTTGCAAAATTCTGAAATTTGGTGTAGAATAGCGAAGGAGAATTAACTCTCAAAATACTCAAATATTCATTAAAAATTCGTCTATCAAAATAAGCCAAATTGGCTACTTATTTGTAAGGTCTATAAAAACTCTTTTTTCACAAGGAAAAGGACTCCTACCTAATCTATAATAAGGAAACTTATAAATAAGCAAATTCTAACCATAAAAGACTCTTATATAATAAAAACATAATAAATCCTAAATTGAAAACGTGCATAATTAAATTAAGTAACTTGATCATCAAGTCGACTTCTCGATCACCCTTCTAATCTCGCGTAGACAATTGGTTGTTCATGTGCGTGAAATTCATGCTCAATTACAATATTGTTACACTTCGAATCTCTCTCTACTTAAAACATGAAAGTTGTAGAACTTCCAGTTGGCTTTCCATAACAATTTGAATCACCTAAATTGAACGTCATATGAGAGAGTTATAACCTGAATGGTAAACAAACGGATGCATGAAATTCGACTTGTCCATCGAGCTCTCCTCTTCATTTTCTTCCAATTCCTAAACAAGAACTCTTTAAAGGTCCGATTCAAGTCTTTATTCTTCAATTCTAACACGAACAGCTCCATTAGTCTCACTCGCTTTCTCTTCTTCCAATTCTTTGTCTTGGATGTATCATACTCCCCATCTTTAAAAGGATTCGTCCTCGAATTCGGACAAATATCACATGAGTATAAATAAAATCGATCTCTCTCTTTGGCAGCAAACTAACACATCCATGCACCACATCACAGAATACTTCATCTTCATCAACTTGCATTGAAAGAGTTTGCAATCCGATTGGCTCGGCACTAACTTCGATGCATGGTTGGATCATATCAAAGTAGATCGTGCTAAAAAATTTTGTTTATTCATATATTCTAATTAAATTTAATTAACAATAATGTTTCAGAATTATACAAGGGTATATCAGGAAATTACAATATTCAGACATCACTGATATTCAGTTATCAAATGAACTTGATTATTCAGCATTCAGCAATCAGACACAGCTCTTACCCATTCAAATATTTATTCAGCATTCAACATTAAGCACTTAATCCTATTAAACGGATCCTTAGTCAACGGGGGTATTATAATACGTGTCCTATTTCTTATAGACTAATCAAGTATTGTTGTGGCATCTTCTTAATACGTGTCATCACTTGGTGAAGATTGAAGATGTAAATAGCACTTAGCCCCCTTGTGGTTTTCACGTTGTGCAATTTACCCCTCTGTGATATCAATGTGGTCATTTTACCCCCTTGTGGTTGACAAGTTGTAGCACCGTCTAATAAACCGTTAAAGTGTTAACAGAAAAGGAACTACCCCTTATTTTCGTACTATTTGCACGTTATATTTTTTTTGTTAATAAATAAATGTAAATTCAATTGGATTTAGTTAAAAATAACATCAATTCATAGGACTAAAATACAATTATCAGGAGTTCAAAAAAAAAATCTTGCAAAGAATCTCTCTTTGTTAAAGTTGATGGAGCTATTGGAGGTAAGAAGGAGAACAAATTAAAAAAAAAATTTGGTTTTTTGCAATTTAATATTTTCATTTTTTAGGGATTTATTGCATTCAGCACACACAGCTTGTTTTTCACCTAATTTTAACTAAAATATTCGTGTCATCAATTAATATCAGCAAAAAATCCATACAATGCAATTATTTTAGCACACTAGCTTCTAAAATCTCATTAGTGCTAAAAAAAAGTATTATAAGGATTTTTTTTTGGTTAATATTGTCATTACGTGGAGCCTTTTAGCAATTTGTATTATTAACACATGGCTATACAATAAACTTATTTTTCTTAGTATAAATTAATTTCTTATACGATCGAAATCTAAAAATACTCTTCGGAGGGGACGAGTACTTTCAAATTGAAAAAGGGGGCCATGACCCCCCGCTGTTTCATAAAACTCCCTACAATTTAATATAGAGATTTATTATTTTTCGAGTATTCCAACATTATAGTAACCTAAAAAAAATTGTCCTTTGTTTTTTTTTAATATAGAGATTTATTATTTTTCGAGTATTCCAACACTATAGCAAATACATTTTACCATGTGTATTAGTTTCTTTTAATAGTCAATTTGTTGTAGAAATTTAAGATATTTGCTTGATTTGTATTGTTTTTCTTCAAATTAGTATTATTGTTACTATAATCCCTTTTATGATCTGTAAATTAATGAATTCAGGCGACTTTTTGTTTCTTGAATATTTGCTTTTGCAGTCGAGTTCCCATTCAGCTTCCCTTTTCGTAAGAAAAATGGAGAAAATAAAAGCAAATTTTCAGGGCAAATTAAAGTTGTTTCTTTTTTAGAATGAAAAATATAAAATTCATTTTTTTAAGCAAAAACACGAAGGAAATAAAATTATTTTTCAGTAGTAGTATATTATTTTCAGCATAACCAGAAGTTTTCATATTCCCTTCTAATGTTGCAATAATATATATATAATTTTTGTTTAAATGTAAAGGCTAAAAGTACAACTAACTTAACAAAGATTTATTGAAAATATAAAATAATTATAAAAAAATTTAGATGAGTATTTTAAAAATAATTAATATAACATTTTAAAAATAATTACTATAGAAATTAAAGATGAATCTGTAATGCTTTTCTAATTAAAAGAAAAGTAAGGATGGCTGTAGAGTTTTTATTAAAGGAAAAAGGGGTAAAAGATGTTTTAATATAATGTTTTAACTTGAAAACCTTCAACCACTATAAATTTGGGCGAGTGAACTGCACTTTCCGTTAACTTTAACGGTTTATCAGACGGTCGCTACAACTTGTCAACCATAAGGGGGTAAAATGATCAAATTAATATCAGAAGGGGTAAAGTGCAAAACCTGGAAACCAGAGGGGGCTAAGTGTTATTTACCCTTATACATAATAGGAAAGATAATATTTTGTATATCTCAATTAGTTTCTTACCCTCCTAGATATATTCTACGCTAATTTATTGGCAGTATTATAGACTTAATTAATTTTGAATTCTTGTATAAATATGTACCTTTTCCTATTGAATAATATAACAATATTTCCCACACCAAACATCTTCCTATTATCATCGGCCAAGAGATAAGTTAGCATTAGCACGACAATGCCGCTAATTCCTCTTGTATAAATAAGACGTTTGAGGCAATGAAAATATCTACAGCTTTCTTTGACAATTAAACATTCTCTCTCTCTCTCTCTCTCTCTCTCTCTCTCTCTCTCTCTCTCTCTCTCTCTCTCTCTCTCTCTCTCAAGTAACAGTCTATAACATGTATTTTATGATTGCTTTATATATTTCACCACACTTTGCACTGTTGGTCGTTGGAACATACTATTATAAACAAATTAGTAACTAATATTGACAAACTGCGTGCGGAAATAAAACATACGACACCATATAGCTAGCATAAAGCAAATGGGCGCGCATTTGATATGTTACAAATGAATGATAACCGTAGATATGGCGCTTTCACACATATTTGAAGCGAAGCCTAAATTGAAGAGAAATATGATTTTGATGCACCCCACTTGTGCAATACGTTGCCAAATATATCGTAGAAATCAATATCAATATCAGTTTCAGTAATTTGCATTGTCATGAAGCCTTGCCCGTCGTAATAAAATCTCATCTCCTTTTCATTGATACTCGTCCGATCGTATCCACCCCTCCATGCCTTTGACCCTCCCCCACTTGTTAGAAATTGAAGACGACTGAAAAAAATAAAGACAATAAATAAATATATCGATTTTTCGTGATTCATTCATATATATGAATTCTTACACTATTTTTATTTTTATTTTGTTTTTACTTATGAAAGTATATATAAATATAGTACTGAGTTACCTGTGATGACTGGAAATATGCTCTAAACAATGATCATGCCCATTTATGTAAAGATCAACATCGTTTGCCTGCATTTTAATGGGATATTTTAACATATCTTAATGCAAGTAATAAATATTTATTTTTCTTCAAATTTAATTAGATAATAAATTACCCGTGCCATGTTATTTGTCATGTAATTGAAAATAATTACCTCAAGAATCGGAAGAACCTTTTGCACAAGCTTCTTCGTGTTACCATGAATGCCGACGCTTTTAATCGTGTGGTGACCAACCACGATTTTCCATTTTGCCCGCGATTCTATCAACGCTGACTCCAAATCCTATAACATAATTACAAAATGAGGAACAAATTAAAATTAACTAATTTTTCTCTATTTTTCTCTATAATATATTTATTTTTTTGTATTTAGACGCGCATATTAAAACTACATACGCGCAAGAGAGTCGAAAGATATTTGTCTCTAGGAAGGACGCCTCTCCAATCGTATACTTCATCTTCCGGATCCGTAAAGTATTTATCTTCGAAAGGCGTCGTGTCTATGAAAAAGAATTCTGCGATATCTGCATATAATGATAAACCAATGTATATATATACATATTATATATCTTGTAAATAAATAATGAAAAATAATGTAATATATAAAAGTAGATTGTCACAAACCTGTATTGAGGATAAAAGATTTCATGCAAAACCATTTGCTATCCTTTGCTTTGAGAATGGGACTCAATTGTGCTATGGCGTTACCTCTATAGTCATGGTTCCCTAACACTGGTAAATTATACAAAAATATATTATATATACCACAAAGCTTTTTACATTGTATTCTTAATATATATAAATAAATATTAATTAATTGAAATATTTAATGATAATACTTCATATTTTTTTTTTTTGAGATGATAATACTTAGAATTTGTGATCAACTTATTTTGCTAGCTAGGGAGTAAATTAGAAGAGAAGTACTAACCAGTGTACCATTTCTTGAGCAAGCTGGGAGCTGTATAGATATTGGTAAATGACTCATCAAATGCTGGATCATTTTCATCTGTCAATCCACTCGGATAAAAGTTATCTCCCGTTGATATAATGAAATCGACGTCTTTCTTCTCTGCCGTTATACCCATCTGCCCCGATAGATTTACAAATACGTTACGCGCAGTTATATATTTACTATACAATGCAAAAACAAATTTGATCCCAATATATTTTATTGCCTGCTGCATAAGAATGAATGAAGTAATGACTTTTTAAGAGCATCTCTATAATCTTTGAGATTTCAAATATAATCTTGAGAGTTAAAATATAGTAATTTTACCGGGAGCGATATCGATAAAATTCAATTGTGATTTTTCACATCTTATATTTTATATATTAAGTCTCTTTTGAGCATTAATTTTTCATTCGCAACAATATGACAAAATAGATACATTTAAAATGAAAAATTACTTTATTATTCAAGTAAACTATATTTATGTTATCTAACAATTTAATTACATAATTTTATTTTTATTTATAAGATTATTTTGCAACTATATTAATTGTAATAAAATATTCTAAATAAACATTTCTAATTTTTTAACCCCGAAAATATTTTAATAGTAGTAAAGTTAATTGTTGCTCAATAAGTATATTTATTATTGTGATATAACTTATAAGAATATTCATTTCTTTAATGTATCTTATAATTATCTTAACTTATATTATGTTTGAATAATTGTTATGCTAGAGAATCCCAACATTTAACCACTATTTATATACTAAAAATAGAATTTTTTAACTCCAATGGAGTTATTAAATGAGGGTATCGTTTTCATAATTCATCTCACGTGATGTCAATATACTTACTGAAAATTAAGTTATCAAAACGTAACCGATCACCCAGGGGCGGACCCAGGGGGGTTTTCTTGGGGGGCGGAAATATAGGGGTAATTTAAGAGAGAAATTTTTTTTTTGTTTTTAGGGACTAAAGTGTACAAAATTAAAAGTTTGGGAGGGCGAAAGTGTATAAACTAATACATAAATACCAAAAAAAAAAACAGCTTAAAAAAAAAATCTTGGGGGGGGCGGGGGCCACCCCAGCCTTAGGCGTGGGTACGCCCCTGCGATCACCTAAACATCCAATCACATTTATTCGACTACATTTTAGTACTTGATTAATATAGTTTACATAAGAGAAAAAACGATTTTTTTTAAATAAAAAAAATGAAAATTAAATTAATAAAAAAAAAAAAAAAGGAAAGTAAAATAAAATGAGAATGGGACTAGCGAGAAGAAGATAGTGAAATGATAATTTTGGAATTAAAAAGGAACAATTTTGAATAAAAATATAAACGGACTATTCTAATGTTTGAGGTATTTATTTCATCTATGAGCCTCAATTAATTTACTATATGGAGTAAATATTCTCGACATCACGTTAGTTATTTAATCCTTTATCCCTTGAGCGTGTCTTCGCTATTATTGTTTATTTGTAATTTCATCCATTCGTTTAGACACGTCATCATATATATCTGCTACTGTCATGTTATTCGTGGAAGAAAGCATGTGCATCTTTCTACATTAATGGCCCACAATATATACATACCCAATTGGAATCACATCATATAGTAAAATTATTATTATTATTATTACGTGTCCTAAGCAATTGAATGCAAACATCATATTCACATCAACAAAGCTGCTGGCCCCACCACCATCTTCCCCGGTCTCACATTAATTTATTCTCTCATTGGAGTTCCACTAATAATTAATCCAATTTTACTGTTTAATAAAAAATAATTTTTATTTTGAAACCAAGCAAGACCTTAATTAAGTTCCAATTACTTGAAATATACATGCGAATTTGCTTAGGAATTATTGGGTGCGGTGGCCACAATATGTCAATAACTATCAAATAAGCTACTTTAAGTCAAAGTTAGGTAGTTAAGAGCCAAGGACAAGAAAATGTTGTAAAACTATATAATACTATTTGTAATTTGTTGCACACACCACACTTTATACGTTCCTTACGTTACTTTTACCTAATTAATTCTAAATTTTTTCAGCAATTTGTTGCATACTTGGAAGGTACGTTACTTCCACAAAAATTCAAAATCTATTTGTTCTTTATTTTTTATTTTTGAAATAAAGGAACTGCAGCCAATCACATAATTTTGGCAGGTCGACCCGGCAATTTACTGGGATACACAATATCGAATTAAGTCTAACTATTTAGTTAATATTGGCTTATCTAGGCAATCAAACATGCCCTAAGTGTACTAGATAAATCAACACTCTTGTATAATAATTAAGTTGCAAACTATAAGAGACATGTATACCACACTAGGTTAACCATGTGTGAAAAGCTCGACCTAGCGAACTTGGCAAGGGGATTCGAACATATGTCAATTGACACATGCTCACTTGCTCCAACCGGTATGTCATCTCTTATAGTACTATCCAACTTTATATGTAATTGCAAGTTCAGTTGTCAAAGAATAAATCTGAACTTTTAAATTATTAAAAAGAAAAAAAAAAACTGTTATGTCATTAGTTACTGAGTTGAGTAGTTATGCAATATAAACAAATAATATTTATACCTCTAGAAGTAAGATTTTTCTACATATAAAACAGGTAGGAATAATTTATTTTGTGTAACCATATCTCTCTCACACTCGCGAACACACAATATATAAAATAATGAAAACGTAGATACTATATTATATATAGCAACATTAAAATAACAATAATAATAAAGAAAAAGCCAACAGATTAAAAAAGACGAAATTATAAAATAAAGAAATCACATCAAAAAAAAAAAAAAAATGAACATTTGGATATGATTTAGTACGTGGTGTGTACCTGGTAAGCAAGCTGAGACTGGTTGTACATTCCTTTCCTTCCCCAATCTCCGATCACCAATACACTTATCGACCCGTCGGCTTTCGTCGCCGGATGTACAACCCGGTGAAGCTCGCCGTTCACCGTCACCAATATCTCAACAAATATTATAATTATCAGAACCATCAACTGCGAATTGCTACCCATTTTTACACACACACACACACTTTTTTACATATATATATATATACACACACACACACAACTGTACAGTTTTATTCAGTTATGTGTTTGTGTGGAGGAGGGGTATATATAGCTGTTTATTGATTGTATGTGTATTATATTTGGTCAGGATGAGGATAAAAATAAACAAGCAGATAGCTGGCGAAAATAATTTTAATTAATTAAATGGCAAAGATCATCTCGTTTAGACTATATATATATATATATATATATAACTAATATATTAATATATTATATTTGTGATGAGTTTGAAACTGGACAATAGAGTAATGGGGTAGCGAGTTGCGACAAGCAATCAATTATTAACAAAACATATGAGGTGGTGGTGATTTGGACAACCATTCTACGTATCCAACTGCTTTGCCGGGTCCCCCCATAGGTGTTCACGCATTATTGGATAACAGTGGGCCCCATTCCTTATCGTTGCTTGATTATTTCATACTTTAATTTTATTTCGTTTTTTTAATTATTATTTTTAATTTATTTTACGTGCCTAACATAATATGTTTTAGTTACGATGGTAATTTCATTATACAATATTAGTCACGTTTGCCTCATTGTTTTAGTTAATCAATCAAAGACACATTACAAATAAGCTTGATTTAGAGTTTATAAGCTCTTCCAAAGTGTTTGGTAATTTTTTTTTTTAAAAGATCTTAATTTTTTTCAAAATAAGTTGTTGGAGAGCCAATAAGATCTTTTTAAATAAGTACATTTACCGCACCTTTTTATTTAAGATCTTATAATGAGTAAGAACAGGAAATAAGCTATTACCCAACACTCGAAAAATTAATCCTAAAAATAAGATGTAACAGCTTATCACCTCTTAAAACATCTTATCAGACGTTAGAGCTTATCAGCTGTTTAAAATAAGTTTAGCCAAACACCCTCTTAAAGCCTGTTCGACTAAGCTTTTAAGCTCTTAAAAACATTTTACAAGATGTTTAAGAGCTTATAAGCTGTTAAAAAAAGTTTGATAAAAAAATCAGAGACGATCTTATATTTTCTAAAAATAAGCTGTTAGGGAGCTCATAAGATGTTTTTAAAAAAAGTACCTACACCCCACTTTTTTTCTTTAAGATCTTATTTGCTTCTTTATTAAAACTCTCAAAATACAAAATTACCCTTAAATACTTTATTATATTATATTAATACTAATAATATTTATATTTTATCAAAACAACATATTTTTTAATCAAGAGCAATAATTAGTTAAAATATAATTATCATAATTATGGTAATAATTGTAAAAATAAAATTATTCTTTATTTATATTTTATATGTATAATAAAAATAATATTCTTATTATCTCAATAATAAATTATATTTCTTTTATATATAAAAAAAACTATATTTCTTTTACAACATTTATTTTATATTAATATATAAATGAGACAAAAAAATTAAACTTTTACAAACATATTTCATTAAAATATTTTATTACACTTCATTTTATTTTTAAAAATAGTCAAATATCATATCAGCATACATAAAAAAAATCATTTAGTTTATTTGATATAAAAATTTATATTATTATTTTTATTTGAAAAATTAATTTGGAAATATTATAATATTTTTTTAGGAACTAAAGTATTTGAGTCAAATAAGTTTAATAGTTATAATGACGTCATGTATTTTTTTGCGTTATAGCGATAAACATAACTTTTTTTTTTTCCAAACACCTGAATAACTTATAAAAATTAAAAGTAACTTATAAGATACATATCCAAACACATTAAAAAATAATTTTTAATATAAGATCTAACAGCTTATCAGCTCCTAAAACATCTTATCAGATATATGAACTTATAAGATGTTTTAAATAAGCTTAGCCAAACGGGCTCTTATTCATAAAGATGTACATATAATTTTTTTTTACAAAAACGTCAACACACTGTCCAGAGTTGCGTAGAAGACTAAAATAGCCTCTCACATTTTAATATGCTCAAATTTCATCTTTTAATTTAATTTAACCTTAATTTGACCTCAAATTTCACAAATTATTAAATGTTGACCTAAAACTCAATCTTGAGTATAATTTCGTCCTTCGTCGCCGTTGACCGCCGGTCTCCGACGTTGATTTTTTTTTTTCTGTTTTTGCCACTGCTGATCGGCTGCATTAACTTTTTTTATTTTTATTTTTTATTTTTTGAATTTTTGAATTTTTTTTTCTTTAACATCTTTTTGCCCCGTTTAAACAACAATATTGTTGTGGTTGATAGTCATATTAACTATATCACTGCTATACACAGTAATATTAACTATACTACAGTTTAAAACATTAATATTGTTATATTAATAGTGATATTAACGCAACAAAAGTCATTATTATTGTATAATAGAGTAAGATTAATATGTTAACCGTTCAACAAAGATAAATATAATAAAAAGCTAAAAGAATTAATATTGATGTGGTTGACAGTAATATTACTGTCATTCACAGTAATATTACTGTAACAACAGTAATATTACCGTCAACCACATTAATATTTTTGTGCTTACAGTTTATTTACAATAGTAGACAGTAATATTATTACGTTAATCGGTCAACAACTCAAACAAAACAAAAAAAAAACCAAAAAAAATAATAATATTGATGCGGTTGATACTAAAATTATTGTGTTTACAGTTATATTACCGTCAACGACAGTAATATAATCACGTTGACTTGTCAACAAATCAAGAAAAATAAAAAAAGCCAAAAAAAAAAAAGTAATATTGTCGCTGACGACAGTACAATTACATAAATGTATTGTCGACAGTACAATTACTTAATGTACTGTCAACGACAGTACAACTACTGTCAGCGACAGAATAACTCTTGCTAATGAAAGTACAATTACGGTCAACGTTTAGCGGCGGATGTAAAAAAAACGGATAAAAATTTTAGGAAACAAAAAACAAACTAAAAAAGATCAACGTCGGAAATTGGCAGCGAAAAAAAAAAAATCACGCCGAAAACCAGCGGCAACAAATAATTTCAGAAACAACAAAAAGGGTCAATATTGGATTTTTATGGTTAAAACTGATTAAATTGATGTTACAATTAACAATTAAGTGCAAAAGATTAGGGATAATTTTACTATATACATGAATTTTTTCTTTATTTATAATACATATTAAAGAATGAGTTTATTGACAAAAGAGATATAACCATAAATCTAAAATAATAAAACTGGTTTGGAAGAGACCCGATTCCATCAAGTAAAATTGGTTTCCGAAAATAATGAAATCTGTCGTTGTATTCTTTCGACACGTACTTCCCTAATCCTTTTAACTATTGTTCCAATCATACGGTACAAATTAATTTATTTATTTATTTATGATCACCACAATTAGAACACGTAAAGCTCTGCGATTCACTTAGCTGGTACATTAATTGTATTTGATACATACATATATACACCCACCACCACAAATCAAGATTCAACATTTCAACAGTTCAATTTAGACTCTGCCCCCACAAGGGTGGTACAATTATTGGAGCATATATATATATAAAATTATGGCTGTCGTTTAATTGTTTCTTTCATTCACATGCTATCTATATTAAGTGTAACTTTAGAGTTTTAAGATAACTAATTGTTTCTCTTTATCGATTTTGCCTCGTATCATTGATCGTTCAAGGTCATTAACTTGTTCCACTAATTTATCTTTTGTTCAAGGTTTGTAAGAAGCAATTTAGGGTCTTTCCATTAATAACGAGGTGATCTGTTACGTTTCTTTAATATGTGTGAGTTTATCTTATTTTAAAACGGAGGGAGTACTTTTAAATGACCAACTCATTAAACATAATTAGGTTAATGTGATTTATATTTTTCTTATGATTTATGAGTTATTGCTAAGGGTGTTCATTCGGTAAAACTGTACCCAACCATACCAGAATGCGGTAAATCGAAATTTTGGTACTTAAAAAATTTGTACCGTTAACCGTAACGAACTATTCGATTTGGTACGGTTTTTTTACCAAATTAATTCGGGTTTTCGGTTCGGTACGGTAAAATCGAAAATACATTTTCTTATTTTTGAGAAAGGTAAAAAAAATATATTTAAACTAATTGAAAGTTATTATTAATTGAAAATGATTATTAATAGTGGCTAATTTATAAATAATGGAAAAAAATTATCAATCCATAAGTATTTCATAATTGTTATATATAACCTTAAAGGATTTAAAAAAAAGGTAAAATAAAAAAAGTTTGGTATTCGGTACGGTATGGTATACAGGCATCAATACCGTATACCGTACTGAATATCGAAATTATAAACACAATTATTGAATACCAAACTGAATTTTCGGTCCGGTATATGATATGTGTCGAATTTTTGGTTCTGGTATACCGATCGAATGAACACCCCTAGTTATTGCAGAAGGATAGAGTTTAGCCTGTAGTAATTACAATAGTAATTACAGGTTCTTTTGTCAATCGAATAAAGAAATAAAGAAAATTTAATCAAACTCTCACTGAACATATCTAGAGATTATTAAAAATACTTAAACCAGCAAAAAGCATTAGAGATTAATCAGAACTCGAGCATGTATTGTGAAAATAAATATAGATAGATAAATTGTACAATAAAATGATATTTAAGTAACAATGAATTAACAAAATCAAAAAATTCTTTTCACAAGACCAGAATATCATTAAATATCACTACATAAAAATTATTTTCACAAGATCAAATATCTACCTGATGTGCCTAATTGGCCCAACCCAATGGGCCTACAAATTATTTACCTACTGGGCCACGAGTCCAATATCGAAGACCACTATCACCGAGACCCAATCACCTTCATGTAAGGTTTGAGCCCGACAATCTCAACTAAGCTATAAATAAAGGTTTGAATTCATTCTTAAGGTACGTCCTATTAACTGAGCAATACTATCAACTGTATTATCTGAACTATTTCCACTATCCGCACGTCTGACTTGAGCGTCGGAGGGGTTTCCGCCGGATCATCCCCGGTCTAGTTCACGTGTTCTGTGAGTGCAGATATTTCAAGGTCATCAAGCTCGTGAGCCAGTGATCCACTT